GTTGTTTACTTACTTTATAATTAGTCAATAACGCCATCATTTTCTTCATTCAGACCGAGAGCTCGCACGAAAACTAGAGGCGGGATTTATCACACGAACCAATCACATCCAATCATAACCAATCATATCCAATTATAGCGCGATGGAGGCATTGCCTCCTCTCACGTGACTTTCCCCCATTCATTTCAATGAGCCTCCAGAAAAGTCCTTCTCCAAGTACACCCGGCTGCAGCCTGCAGATCGAGGCGGGGCTGCACCTGGGGCGGGGCTGCACGTGTCGCCCCGCCCACAACGCTTCTCATTGGTTAGTGGCAAAGTAATGACGTCGACGCCGCGGTAAACAGGAAATGCGGCTGAAACAATACATGGTAGTAATACATGATTATATAAAACAAAACTGTGAACCCGTTAATTACTTATACCTGGTAAAAATATAGTATTAAACAATACATTGCAAATTTGTTAATTTTTGGAAAACGTTTCATTATGTACATTTCCAAGCAAGAATCCAATTACTGCTTTTGACTTGTCACATTGCAATCGCAGTCAACGAATATAGTTTATTTACAACTTAAGTTAAGTTATTTCTATTCATCTGTATTGGTAATTTAGAACTTATACGTTATTTATGGTCGTTTTTTATTTTTATTTCAGTATATGCTTTACTGTTACATGTATGAATTATTAACATTTAAATAAAAGTTGGATATTCTCAGCAAGAGTGTCAAGTCTTAAGATGTTATTAAAATGAATGGTAACACTTTACAATAAGGTTCATTAAACATTAATGTATTAACTAGCACGAACTAACCCTGAGCAATACATTTGTTACTGTATTTACTAATCTTCGTCAACGTTAATGAAAATAGTTTATTGTTTGCTCATGTTAGTTCACAGAACATTAATGTTAACAAGATTAAAAATGTATTAGTAAATGTTGAGATTAACATTAAGATTAATAAATGCTGTATAAGTGCAGTTCATTATTAGTTCATGTTAACTAATGAACCATATTGTTACCAAATTAATAAATTATGGATTTACTTGATAATGGAAAGCTTATGGTAAAAATACCAGCATTGTCTGTATATGAATAACATGCCAAGACAATTATTTCCTTGTTATTTATTTAGGTATGAAACAGTTTAATTCTGATAAAGAAAGGTGAAATTTGTACATCTGTATATAACATATTTTTGTACATATAAATCTCTGGTTAAACATTAACATCCTTTACACTTTATTCCTTTAATGCTTAATCTCCTTTAATCATTAAACCTTCCTTCTTTGTACACTTTACTGGCACGTGAAACAGCAGTCTGGGTCCTCTATGCTGTCGTAGAATCCTCTCAGGCAACCACGCTTCCCATTACCGTAAAAACCTGAGCAGGATTTGAACACGGTTTTACATATTTTACACTCTTTAATTTCAAAAGGCACCCGCAATTCAGCCTTTGATGTTTCACTCCATTTTCCCAAGTTCACAACACCTGTAGCCAAAAACACACACAAAACAGAACTCTTTCATATGCACATCTAAGATTGTTAGCCATGACAGTGCTTTAGCAAAAGCAAGAAGCAAGATTACTTAAAGCCAACCTTATACTCACGAGGCCTTATGCATACTTCATTGCACACATTTAAACCTTAACACACTTACTGTCAAGCCATGCATAGTGTGCCTTCTGTCTGAACCGGGCCTTGTTTACAATTGCACTAAAGCAATTGCAAGTAAGAGACAGATTCATGTAGGCAGCATCACCATCCTGTAGCACTACTTCAAGGAGTATCATCTCCAAGACCTCCATGGGTAACTGGAAAGTATTTATAAAAGGATTAATCCATCTGCTTGAATGGAATATTACAGTATTCCAGCACAAAAGAAAAAAAGACATCTTACATCCAAAAGTTGCAACTCAGCAGTCATGCTTGCCTTTTGTGCCTAAAAGGATAGCAAAGAATACAAGTCAGTCTATATATGGTAAGAGAAGGAAAAAAAAATGTCTTATTAAATGTCTCATACATTCTTTTCAGTATGCCTCATTTGTCTTTTTGTTGCCCGTCTTTCTTCATCAGACCTGCAATGAAAAGTAGTACAGGACAGGTATGTGTAATGCAATTCTTTTAAATTATGTAAATAAAACGTTCTCTCAAACTCAAAGGAAAAGCTAAGTCTTTGATAATTGAAGCTTCAATGGTTTGTATAATGTGATCGTGACAGCACAGCAAAAATTAGAGTGTAAGTTCAAAAATGTAAAAAAAACAAAAAGAAAGAAAACAAACCTCAAGGGGAAATTCTCCAAAAGCAGCAGACACCACCACCTCCTGATGCAAGGCACGTCAGGCTAAAATAAAAATAAATAAATTACCTTTTAATAATATGGGGGTTTGCCATTGCATATTTCACTTACCTCTGTAAAATCAAAGGCCCCTGCTGTCACAAAGCTCAGTGAATACTGAAATAGTAAACATTACAAATACATTTGCTAAGATACATATACTGGATAAACATCTAGTAAGCAACACATCAGCTTTATAAACTTACCATCAGGACAAAGACACCACAGCTGTTGCTGAGATGTTGTTGTGGAAGGCCCTGTTGATGTTGCCATGCACAGAGTCAAACTACCTTGAAAAAGTAAAACAATTTCCAATGCTTTTACAGTTATTCATTTTAATGAATATTGGTCCCGTAATATCGTTGACACAGTATTCATGCCAAGGCCCAGGAGACAAGATTTGTGCAATGATTCTGTGATGACAAAGACAAAACAAAGAACATACCTTAAAAAACAGTTACTGCACTGCAACAAACAAAACAATACAATACAAGAGAACTGAAATGTGGGGCAGAACCTGAACTTCCCATGAGTATTATGACCATTTTCATTGACAGTTTACAAAAGAAGTGATCTGTAAAAATAATTTGATCCTAAATCCAAAACCATTTAAATAAGCCTACTAAAAATAAAGTCAGATGAACAAGTCACTAGCTGATAAACCTACATGTGGTTAATAACAGCCACAGTTTTATTAAAATGTGGTTAGGAACGACCACAATCTCTGAACTCCGAACAGTGCACTATAAAACCTGTAGATGAGCATGTATTCTTCCTGACTGAATGTTTGGCCGTGCAGAGGATCAAGGAAAAAAATGTCATGCTCTCCTGGGCTCATAATCTGTTGATATGTCACAATATATACACAGAAAGAAGACGACTGCAGTTTATAGATCAAAAAGTATCTAAAAATGATGCAGACATAAGTTATCCCAGGTAAACAGCAGATTCAGAATTACTTACACAAACCATCCAATGTCCTGGTATCCATGTTGGGAAGATAAACCAGTCGATCTTTTCATCCAGCTTGAAAACAAATAATATTGGTCATCACCAAAATTTGGAAACTGTGTGTCTGGGTTTCATATTAAACAGAACTGACTATACTACATACAGGCAGGTGTAGAAGGTGCTCTTCAAGTGTCCTGTTTGGCCATGTTGCAATTAGATATGAATTAGCCGAAAAACCATTCACATTCTGTATGGAAAATTGAACATACTTTAATCTAACCGAAGGCAAAATTGAGAATTTTAAATACTAAATACAACAACAGCTGAGAGTATTAACATTCTGACCACTGTAAGCACATCTACAAAAGTAAGTATATTTCAGCCAAGGAGCTGCTTAAAAGGAGCAGAAAATACAAGTCAGTCTTTATATGGTAAGAGAAGAAAAAAATGTCTTATTAAATGTCTCATACATTCTTTTCCGTATGCCTCATTTGTCTTTTTGTTGCCCGTCTTTCTTCATCAGACCTGCAATGAAAAGTAGTACAGGACAGGTATGTGTAATGCAATTCTTTTAAATTATGTAAATAAAACGTTCTCTCTCAAACTCAAACTCTCTCGTCAAACTCAAAGGAAAAGCTAAGTCTTTGATCATTGAAGCTTCAATGGTTTGTATAATGTGATCGTGAAAAAAAGAAAAAAGAAAACAAACCTCAAGGGGAAATTCTCCAAAAGCAGCAGAACCACTTTCAGGCAACATTTGAGAACCTGCGTTAAAATAAAACAGAAAATCAATAAACAACATCCACCATTAATTGCTATATTCAAATATAATGTCTTTGAACTGTGTACCGTTCCCTCAATGTCTTTTTCCAGTCCCAGACAGCACAGGTCTGATCGTTTTAGCATTGTGTTATATGCAGTTGCCAATGGCTCGTCTTTGCACTTTTCGACATCCAAAGCATTGTTTAGCTAACATTCAGATAAAGATACATAAATGCTCAGGCTGATGAACAGTATTTTGTAAAGATAAAATCCCTAAAATGAACTTACCAACTGCTGTTGCCCCTCATTTGGCATGGTTCCCCAAAATGTTTTGCTTGCTTTAACTACGTTCAGGCTTGTTACCACAGGATTTGGACAACATTTAGGGTCACACTGCGACTGGACAGCTGTACATAAGTAAAAGATACAAACAAATCACTTAAATTTAAGCAAAAATCACAAACTTCTATGAGTTAAAGAACAACTTCAACCTGTATGCATTTCTTTCTCATTCGGAGTTGTATTCAAAGTTTTTGCAAGGGGAAATGGCTCTTAAAAGATTCTGAGTTATAAAGTGAACAACACCACAAAAGAGGAGAGAGATGGAGGGGTGGGGATGACAATGACAAGGATCTGCAAAAAGAAGGAAATACAGAGAATCAGTATTAGCATAAAATGTTTTATTTTTTACTCATGCAGGGGTGTCCAAAGTCGGTCCTGGAGGGCCGCTGGCCTGCAGAATGCCTCAACACGCATGCCTAGAAGTTTCTAGTATGCCTAATAAGGTCTTGATCATTCTTTTTGCGCAAATCATCGTTTCATTTGCGAACATAGCCTTTCGAGCAAGGCTTTAAGACCAAGCGGAATCCTCTGGCCTCTGGTTCACAGCGCCTGCGTTTTGATTTCGGCAGACCCGTTATAAAACAGAAAATCAATAAACAACATCCACCATTAATTGCTATATTCAAATATAATGTCTTTGAACTGTGTACCGTTCCCTCAATGTCTTTTTCCAGTCCCAGACAGCACAGGTCTGATCGTTTTAGCATTGTGTTATATGCAGTTGCCAATGGCTCGTCTTTGCACTTTTCGACATCCAAAGCATTGTTTAGCTAACATTCAGATAAAGATACATAAATGCTCAGGCTGATGAACAGTATTTTGTAAAGATAAAATCCCTAAAATGAACTTACCAACTGCTGTTGCCCCTCATTTGGCATGGTTCCCCAAAATGTTTTGCTTGCTTTAACTACGTTCAGGCTTGTTACCACAGGATTTGGACAACATTTAGGGTCACACTGCGACTGGACAGCTGTACATAAGTAAAAGATACAAACAAATCACTTAAATTTAAGCAAAAATCACATAAAATTCACTGAGTTAAAGAACAACTTCAACCTGTATGCATTTCTTTCTCATTCGGAGTTGTATTCAAAGTTTTTGCAAGGGGAAATGGCTCTTAAAAGATTCTGAGTTATAAAGTGAACAACACCACAAAAGAGGAGAGAGATGGAGGGGTGGGGATGACAATGACAAGGATCTGCAAAAAGAAGGAAATACAGAGAATCAGTATTAGCATAAAATGTTTTATTTTTTACTCATGCAGGGGTGTCCAAAGTCGGTCCTGGAGGGCCACTGTCCTGCAGAATTTAGCTCTAACTTGCCTCAACACACCTGCCTAGAAGTTCCTAGTATGCCTAATAAGATCTTGATTGGCTGGGTCAGGTGTGTTTAACTAGTATGCTCAATAAGATATTGATTGGCTGGTTCAGTTGTGTTTAATTGGGGATGGAGCTGAACTCTGCAGGACAGTGGCCCTCCAGGAGCAGGATTGGGCACCTGCACTAGTGCATATACTGTATAGCAGCATAACAGTATGTAATATAAAAACGAGCTCTACTTTCAAGGACTGTTAAACTTAATCATACTTTTTGTTGAATTATTATTAATAAATGTAGTTTACTGTTTATTTTAATAGATGTATAATTATTATTATTAATAATAATATAATAATAATAATTCGTATTATTATAGGATTTACATAATACAATTACATGAACGCCCTCCCATTTCGAAACTTTAATGCGACGAGCTCGTAATCACAACTTCAGAAGTGAGAATTATCAAATTTCCGATAGAACGTGAAGGCGGCATTAGACCTACGATGCTTTTGGGAAACGCAGCCCTGGTTATTTGCGTGATATGGTTGAGTGAGTAAAGTTACGCGATTTTATTTTTAAACTACTTCATCCTTACTTTTAACAGCACACTAAACGCCACTTTAGAATTAAAACTTGTAATTAAACAAATTAGACAAGAGACGTAGCTCGCCTGTACTCACCATGCAGCGAAGAACAGCGGAAATTAAAACCCGCTAGAATCGACGTCATGACTTGACGCATTTAACCAATGAGAACAGTTGTAGGCGGGGCGACACGTGCAGCCCCGCCCCAGGTGCAGCCCCGCCTCGATCTGCAGGCTGCAGCCGGGTGCTTCTCGAAAAGTCACAGCACGCCTTGGGGTCTCTATAGAAAGTCTATGGACCGAAGGAAGGCAAGCCTCCGCTGTAACTTTACCTGCGGGTGTCGCTGTTGGACAGCATTACTATGAAGGTAGAATGACGTCAAAAAGATTTGCATACGCAGGGTAATATTTGTGGAAGTGTACATAAGATTGTAAGCGTAAATTAAATTTGCATGCGCAAGAGAAGCTTTGTAAAGGTGTAAATCGCGTTTCAAGCGCAAGAAAAAATTATTTGCAGCATTTTACTGTTACTTGTAAGTGTAATTCATGTATTGTGAAACTGCAGCTTCATGCTAACTCAAAATAAATATGATCTGCATGCTTCTGACTTCCATTTTTCCGCGCTTACACTTTTGGCACGTTTTTTTCGCCAAAAGACGGTCAAAAGCACTGCAAGCCTGTGAACAGTGATTTGCAAGCGAAAACAACAGTTTAAAGAACTGCAAAACGGATTGACTGCATAGAACCGATCTGTATGTGTAAAAAACTATATATGTATATATGTGTGTGTGTGTGTGTTTTAAAGTTAATTAACAGTTCGGATCATTCACAATGACGACACCTATTATGAAGACTTCGTAAGATTAATTTTATCACAGTGATCTTATGAGATTTTATTGTATTTTAGTTGTTTTCACTTGAGTAGTGGTTGGAAAATGATGATAGCTGTTGTAAAATGCAAAAACAACAACAACAACTTTACTGCATGATGATTTGTCCGAAGTTTGTATTAATAGACATTTTTTTCCTGTAATTATTATTATTATTATTATTATTATTATTATTATTAATAACTTCAAG